CTTTACCCTTGAAACGAAGGATCAGTGAGAACACCACTAGGTTCCCATCCCTTTCACCCTTGTGCCAAAAGCCATTTAGTCATTCTTGATCTGCTTGAGGTCTCCCCTGGCAAGTATCATTAGTGCCCACAAGGATGAGCAGCATGGGATAGTAGTCAGAGGGCCAGAAGCATCTCAGCAACTTTTCTGTGACATCTTGGATGTGAGCTCCAGGCAGCAGAGTTCCCAAACCAACAGGTCAGGCCAGCAGATGGATGCCCCACAGGAGGAAGTCCCCAATCACCATCACCCATTACTTCCTTTTGGCAGCAGAGGTCTCTATCCTCACTCCAATGGCCTCTCCTGCTACTGGAGTGAGCTCCTTATCATCCAGTGCCAGTTCTCCAGATGGACAGCCTCAGGTTCAGAAGAGATGACAAAAACAGGTAGCAGCAAGGGCTTTGGCATTATGACATCTTCCAACTGTCCTGTTGCTATTTCTGCTAGCTCCTTTTTCTTCTTCTGTGGGTAGTTTTGAAATATTCCCTCTGTCTCCTTTTCCTGCTTCAGCTTAGCAAGCGTACAATGAAGAAAGTGTCCAGGCAAAGTCCCCAGCAAATTCCCCACTCAAACTCCCCTCCTCACTGGCCCTGTGTCAAGTACTCCTATGTCACTGACTTCTTGCCTTTCTGCTTAGGCAAGTCACACTGCAATCGGCTGTAATCAGCTCAATCAGCTGCTGGACTTTATATCTGGGAGCTCTTCTGTTCACTCCTCCAAACAACACTATAAAATGACTCCCAAAGTGAAGCTATGTCACCAAGCCCAAGCCAGGCAGGCCTTCTTACTCACCAGCACCCACAAACCCTTTTACCTGGCAACCAAAGCTTCCTGTTCCTCTCCCACTAAGGGGTCCCATTCAAACTCCCTTGTTTGCTGGCCTGTTCGCTAGTCTTGTGTCACTTCCTTCTGTATCACACGTGCAGTATGCTGTGCTCTCACTGGGTAGATATGTGGCTCCATACCTTCCTGCCCTGGGTTAGCATGAGCCAAAAGAAGCCACAAAAACCCATGAGTAGTGAGGGGTTCTTCCAACTTTTAGTCCAATAACCTACCAGTTAAACCAGTTGTACAGGAAGCATAAGAAACAGGGCAGAGCCCCCGCCCCTTATATAGAGGTGATTTGGATCTCCATGGGATCATCTGTAAGACTTCTCAGCACAGTGCTCTAACCTCTCAGCCACAGCTTATGGTTTATGTAGGTCCTTCTCTCTGAAGCTGGCTTCCTGGGCAGCCAAGAATGGGAGATATCTGTGATAATGAACTACAGCCTTTCTACAAAATTCCATGAGAAATGCTCCTGAAGCATAATTGAAGACTCAGGGTTACAGAATTGGGTAGCCTATTGCTGTAACCCACAGGCCTAAATCCAGCGCTGGCTGTTTGTGGTCAGAAATTGTTACCATGTATTTGGGAGGGCTGGTAGCCCATAGATAAGTGATTTTCAGTTTCTAACAGACAAGCCCCATTATTTATGTTCAGCAGAGAACAATGCCAGCATGAGCAGTGGTCACTGAGCTCCCTTACCACTCCCAGGTGTGGTCCTTCCAGGTTAGGGCTGTAACACTTGGGACATAGTTGGGGACAGGGACCTCAGCTGTTGTTGCCAGTGCTGCACTTCTGCTGTGGAGAACTTGGAGGATTTTAGGCAGCTTTTAGTTGAATACAAATGGACTGAGTTTTCAAACACAAATTGTTTGCTTTTCCTGAGGCATATTATAAAACAGAAAAAGAAAACAGTAAAGATGCAATATTAGGGATGAGTTGAGTTGATCTGTCACAAATACTAAGTTGTTTTTTCCCAAACAATTAAGATTTAAGGGATTTGGCCCATTGGAGGAATTCATTCAGCTAATGCAGAATTAATCTTCACCTAAGTTCAGCTACATCCTGATCTGAGGCTGTGATTTCTGACCCAGATCTGTCTACCTGTTTGGGTCATGCCATGGACCTGTTTGGTACTACATAAAAGATAAGCTCTTTGACCATACAGATGATGCTTCACTATCAAGTGTGTAAACAGGAAAGAGTGAATCTTAACATCTAAATAGTTTCTCAAGAGTGAATTGTCTCCTTGGAAAGCACAGTAGTTTAATTGCTAAAAGAAAAAGTACATACTGGGTGCATCTACAGGAGACACTTGACTGCTCAGCAGACTAATTTACTGTGTTGTAAAGCATCACTGTCTACACATGCAGTGCTTACTGCACAGTTAGTTTACTACCTGCAAATGCAGGTAGTAAATTAGCCATGCAGTAGTTACTGCACAGTATTGCACATGCAGACGCTGATCGGCTGTGCAGCACAGGGGGGCAGACAGGGTCAAGACGTATTGGGCCATTTGGCAGTTGCTGCAGTGGTAAAGCCCAGCAGAAGCTCATGGCATGGGTCGTCACTGACGGGCCTGGGGGTAGAGCATCCATTGCACAATGGGCACAGAATCTGTAAACAAAGTCAGAGGGCTGTGCCAGCACACTGTAGGTTGCTCTCGGCCAGAAAAACAGGTGGCCAGAGAGCACCACACAGGGCTGCATTTGAAAGAGTGCCCCTGGCAGCCAGGAAGCTGTGGCTGGAGCCTCCAGCTCTGCCTAGCTGCTGCAGGGGGCAGAGTAGGGCAGGAAAAGGCCTGGAGCAGGCTACTTTAATAAGCAGCAAATCTGCTCCCAAATGGCTGCATGTGTGGATGTCTGCCCAGAGTTGCTTGACTGTGCAGTAAACCCAAATAGCATTAATTGCAGTTGTAGAGGCACCCAGTGGATGCCTCTCCATATGCACTTAACTGTGCAGCACACTAATTTGCTGCAGTGTAAAACATCACAGTCTACATATGAAACACTATTAGACTGCAGCAAACTAATTGTCATTGCTGTAAGATAGCACTGCTGGGGACAGTACTCTTTTACTGGGGCAAAAATAACTGCATCTAAACACTCATGTGAACACTGACCCAGGCATACACTGTGCCAGACCTCTTCCTGCCACCTACTGACAGGGCTCCTCACACTGGGGCACTCTCATGCCCCAGCCAGCCCTGCTGCTGCCTGACACTGCCTCCCCACCCAGGGCTGACCACCCAGGCCTGCTGCCAGCCTGGGGCTGCTCTGCCTTGACTCAAACTGCTGTGGTCCTGGGCACAGTGTCTTTACATGCGTCCTGGACTGCAGCAGTTTGAGCATCTACACATACCATTAAGGCACCAAAACTCCAGCACAGACTGCGCTGGAGTTTAACACATCACCTTCACTTAATGGCACATGTAGATGCACCTGCAATGGACCTAACCATCAATAGGTATAGCAGTGGCATGAAGAATTATAGCAGGAGTACAGCAGGCTCAAAAACTACCACTTGACAGATTTGGATGCATGCTGATTCTGAGAAAGAGAAACCCATTAGTTTGACAGACTATATGGCATACCTGCCCTGCAGGTATCTCAGTGGTGGAGGACAGCAGAGACACTTGTGGATTCTTTAATACACCACCCAAAAAGTTTGCAATTGCTATATCCTCCTCAAAAAAACAAAGGGCTGAGACAAACTTGAATTCCTGCCCTATCTCCACTCCAAGGAATGGATGCATCAGGGCACTATTCTTAGGTACCCTGCCTTGTTGACAAATGAAAGAAATGTTACCCTAGCTTTATTAATGTCAATAGTCACATCTAAAGTACATTCAGTGAGAATACTTGTCCTTGTGAAAGAACATTCACTTTTCTGGAAAGAGTGCTATAATATAGCTCTAAAATGACATGAAAAATATTCACACCCAAATTAGGAGAACCTTATGAAAGTCTTTTGAGTTGCAACAAAGGGCATGTCAAAGGACTATGCTGGGGAGCACAGGCAACAAAGCAAGTCACTCTCTCTTTGCACGTTATACTTTGGAATGAATGTAATGTAGCCACCATCAGTGCTGACTTGGGTGTGCTTATTGGCCTGTAGCCAGCACCACCCTGAGTCATCCATTTTGGGCTGTGGCATGCGTGGAGCAGGCATGTCATGTTTCACAGCCTAGCATGGTCCTTTTACAAGGCAGATGTCCACTGGGTCTGAAACATCTCTGCAGTATTTCATCTCCTCTGAGACTAAGTCTTGCCTGGGAAGGAAATATCACTTGTGGTCAGAGGGAAACACTAGAAGAGGAAGAAAGGCTGCAGCCTATTTATGTTTGCTGTTTTTAAGTAGCTTCTCATACGGATGTAAAGCCACAAGAATAGTTAAAAATGTTAAGTTTGTTTTGGAAAGTGACTGTAAAACATTGCACTATTTTAATTTAATTAATCTTTTCCCTGTGTGCACCAGCACCATCACTACTTATTTTTAGTGAATAAAATATGTTTTTTCTACCTTTTTTGCTTTAGACCGTACCTTGGTATTCTAGCCTGCTCCTCATCAGACCTACTAACTGAATGAAGTCCATCTGCAGAATCTGCATTGCTCTTTGTTGGGGATGCTGCCTGAGCCAGAAGGTAGCTAGCTTGTCTTTTCAGGTCTTACGAATAAAAATCTGGAAAAATAACTTGTCCCTTGTAAACTGAGAACATTCACTATGGAGTGAGCAGGGGACAATAAACACTTAGACTGAAAGCCATTTTTACAATAATTTTTTGTGGATAAAAACCACATTATAAAAATAACTCAACAACGCAAAGTCATGAACAACAAAAATGCCACCCCAGTTTCCTTTCACTGGCTTCCCCCTGGACACAGAATCAATTTACAGGTCTTTGTCTTGGTATGCAGAGCTGAACCTAAGATCGTCTGTAGCTGTCTGAGAACATGCCATTCTGGTTTTTTTTCCCCCTGATAAAACTGGAGACAGCGACATTTGCATAAGTCTTCCCTGGCACAGTGCATCACATGAGGAATTAGAACTGGCATAGCTACACTGGTACCCCCACTCTAAGGCTGGTCCTCAGAAATCGCCTCTGTTCTCCCCTCACCATGACCTTCTCCCGCAGGTGTTTCACTTGGATAAGGCAGCCACTGACAAGGAGGAGGAGACTGCTGAGCCCAGAAGACAATTTTCAGAGAAGCCATACCCAGACTGTAAAACTCAGTGCTTCAAGGCACTTCAGGGAACAAGAAACTTCCCCATTTTCAGCATGGAAAGCAAAACTCTGTCATTTGACAGAACAAAGGAATTTAAAAGACTGTAAAAACATTCCTAATTTTAAACTCAAGTGATTTCAGTAGAAATTAAACTCAGAGTTACAGTTAAGCCTATGCTCATGTATTATGCTTTCTGGATGATATCACTTAACAGACCCTCATAGTACTGGGAATAGAAAACAGTGTTAACAACACATGTTTTTTAAAGAAATTCACCTCTTTGTGAGGTTCTATAATATATAATAAGCATTTTTTTCCTGTTCTGTCTTGTAGAAGCCGGAATTTTAGAAGATCCTGCATAATGTCTGTAGACAACAGTTAGTTTAGGACTGGAAAAACTTAGCTCCTAAACAGTGTTAGTTTAGGAGCCAGAGAGGACGTCAAGGTCTGTGCGGAAGTCTCAGTACCTGATATCTTTTATATAAACTACAAATTGTTTTTGTCTCTTCTCTACCAAAAGAGATGCTATTGGCTTGATGAGGGATACATTAAAGGATTAAAATAAAGGACAAATATTCTCCTCCCTACTCCTTACAGGGGGGTCTAAAGAGTCTGCTTTCCCCACATGTTGCTCTCCAGCAGATTTGAGAATTCTGCCCTGAGAGCTTGCTTGTGATATTTTCATAGTTTCTATCACAGACATTTCTATAAAAGTCATTTGCATTCATTTATAATCTTGCCTGCACAGGGGCCCATCTAGTTTGGTTTACACTGTCTACAAGAAATGGCCGTGATTAGATTGTTGGTTTATTAATGCAGGTGGCCTCAAGACAAATCACCATCTCTAGACACCTCTGAAACGTGTGTGTGTGTGTCATGTTCAGAATCAAAGCTCAGATGCAACATAAAATCTTGCAAATGATCTCTATTAGTATTACCATGACAGAATCCAATACTCAAATACTAGCCAAAATACTTTTAAATATGCTTTAAAGAAGGTAAGTTCCAGACATTTTTGGGGGGAGAGGGAGTTTCAAAAGAGATGACTTGTCATGGGAACCCACCTCCTCTGGTGCTTTGGAATATCCCAGACTTTCAATCTAACAAGTGTTTCTGAGTCTTCTGAAGTTTGCCCATGGTGAATCAATTCTATCAAAAAGGACTAAAAGAGTCCCCTGATATAGATGACTGTGTGATGATCTCACTGGTAACATGGGATTGACATAAATATATTTGCATGACACTGGATCAGAAAAAGTAATGCAGCCTCCATCCTAATCCCAGTTGTTCCATATGTCCTGTCATCAGTGCTGCTATCTGTTCCATTATATAGTTAAAAAGACCATTGAGCTGTCACTTTTCTGTCAAGTAAACTCTAGAAAAGCTCTGCATGTCTGTGACAATGATTTTCAACAGCAAGAAAACCCACAAGGCCACACCTAGAGTAGCTGCTGGGTGAGGGATAAGGTGCTTGCTTCATTTACAATTTTCTCTTTTAAGTGAGGTCATCAATCATTTAGTCTGGATGTGGGCAAATCAGCATCTATTTTTTTCTAGAGACTTAGGATCTAGAGACTGAGCATAGTATGGCTGGGGTAGACTGTTCTTGACTTCTCATCTGGTCTGGTATCTGAGCCCAAGTTCCTTTTTGGGGAACATGCAGAAGTGAAGAAGTAAGATGGCCTGGGAGACCCTTTCATCATTTCCACAGCAATCAAAAGAGACCTAGGGAAGCTGTGAAATTTGCTGGGGTGTTTCAAGAAGAGGCTCGATAGTTATTTGTTTGAGATGGTTTAAGAAAAGCATATCTTGCATCTGTGCAAGGGGTTGGGCTAGATGAGCTTTGAGGCCCCTTCCAAACAATAGTGTTGGAACTCAAGGGTGTAAATTCAGAATAATATCTTAGATGCTAGGGATAATACAGCATCAGCCATTAGAAGAACAGAACATAAGCACTGTGAAATGACCCAGTGTAACATTGCAGCCAAACCACAGGACAAAGAATCTGTTTATAACCTGTTGAGTAACCTGGTGAAGTCACATTCCACTACCCATCTGAACATACATGGTAGCCAGCTCCAGCAAGTGAAGCCCTAGAATTGCATCTGAAATAGCTGTGAAATTCAGGCATAGATCAGGATTCAGATTCTTAGAAAGTTCAAAGGATTTTAAGTTTGGCCCATTACGGAGGTAGGGGGAAACAAGGCATCATGGTTCAATCTGAATTGGAAATGTCATATGGTCTAGGGATGTTTATGTTAGTCTGATCTTTGACCCAAAATAACTGATGTGCCTGTGTAAAGGTGCATATATAGGGAGTTCAATCAGAAAAAGGAAAGGAAAGGAAAGCTCCTATGAAAGCGGCTTGGTGCAGGCTTTCAGTAGAGCTCTACAATGCCTAGTATGCTGTGATTAAGAGCTTAGGTTACTCAGGCTATTTCTGTTCTGGCATAGATTGAATGTCAGCCTTTTTTTTACTGAGCAGGGGATAGGTAAGTTTTGTTGGAGGGTTGTGACATCATCGCTGCTGCAATATACTGTGAGAAGATTTTGGGTTGGCATTTGGCTGAAAAGTTGTACCATGAGGCATCACTCTGGCATTTTGGCAGTGATCCTGTGTGTTACATTGCAACCCATAAGAATTAGCACAGCATTTCCTTAGGGGGAGGGTATATTTATTTCCATGTGATGATTTTGCCATGTGGCTCTTGCTGTATGATATTCATCTTCAAGGATTCCCAAAATGCACAGCTCCATACTGACTCTTTAGTGGGATTTATTTAAGGGTTGGCCTTATTTACATATACTACAACTATTGGTTTACTCTCCCCAGGAGCCTCTTAAAGGATTCCAAAGCTCTCTACAAATGACAATAAATGTTCATCCAGTCTGTGTTGTTCATAAATATTTAATGGAATGGTCAACACATGGGCACATGCATCTGTGTGTCTATATACATGTATGTATATGTGTTCAGGCATGTGTGGAGCAACATGCACACACAAACACCCCCCCACAATCACATGCCATGACCTTCTACTGGATGAAATCTGAACTACCCAGATACTTGTCAATGTTTGCAGGGAAGGGCAGTTCTTTAGCACAAGTGGTACTGGCAACTTTGCAGGAAGAAGTTCATAATTCTATCCCTATTACTGCTCAGAAATTCAGCGTGGTGCCACGAAGTCCTGTGCTGTTAGTGATTTATTGTACAAGCATCGTCTTCATTTGGTGGTGGGGACAAAAGTGTCTTCTGTTAGCGTTACCCACAAGAAACTTGGTCAAATTGGAATGGTTTTGTTAAAAGAATTTATTTAATTAAAACAGCTCTCTCAAAGAAACACTGTTTCAATTAATTTTTTTGAACAGCTCTACTAAAGAGCTTGCAAGATAGAGCAAAGCCAAGGGATGGCATGTAGAACTGAGACTTACCAAATTCACTCCATGTCAAGGATACCAAATGTCCTTTTAGATAGGAACAACTTTTAACATCTACTTTTGGCCAGGATTCAAACTGATGACCTACAGATGAAAGGCCTAGACCTGAATTACACCATCCTGAGTTGTCCATTCCCACATAAGTACTAAGGTTACACCTTTGCAAATGAAGCTGGTTTCTAGAGAAAGAAGTTTGTTAAATCAAGACCTCTGCCACTTCAGTTATAGTAATAAGTCCCACATGAAAGCTTGCTGTTAGCTTCTATTTAGGGAAACCCATAAAGGAAAATTGACCTTCCCCTGCACATGCATGCTGACACACACACACACACACACAAAGAGAACGAAAGGGCTGCACAAGCATTTTTGTCAAACAGCAATAAAACAATGGGTGTCAGGGCTCTTGGTTTCTGTTTCTGATTCCGGAAGCGAAGTGCGATCTAAGAGGTTATAGAAAGCACAGTCCAATGCATGAGGGTATCTCAGAAAGTAACAACAATTTCAAAATAAAACCATTTTGTGTGCAGGGAGTAGGAAACTACACAGCAGTGGAGAACATTGATGGTGGCATTGTTAAATACAGCTATCATTTACAACCATGTATAGAAGTGACAACTATGTAGAGCAGTGATGTGGTCCAGTAAATGATCATTGCACACAAAATGGCTTTATTTCAAAATTGCTGTCACTTTGTGAAACACCCTCATAGTAATGCTTCCATTTGGGTCATCTTTGGGAAGTAAACCTTACATGTTTAGCTATAAAAAGCATAAATATCTACTACTTAACCTAAAGAATCAGATCTCTGAGTCCACAAGAGTCACAGAGGCATAGACAGGTTTTTCTGTGCCCTGGCAGTGCACAGAACCACATCAATGCCAAGAGGTGTAACCACCATTAGCTAGCATACCACATGCCTAGGGGCTGTGGGGCTGGGTCCCAGGCTGTGGAAGATGGGAGGGTCCCTGCCTGAGCAGTGAGCATTAAGGGGGAGGCAGGGGGAAGCCTGCTGTGCCTGCAGTCTCCCCTGGAGCTCTGGCTAGGGAGCAGAAGGGTGAGCTAGCCCTGTTCTCTGTAGCAGAGAGCACAGCCCAGCACAGCCCAGGGCTGCAAAGCATCTGTGATGCTGGGGGACTCTGGTTTAACTTAAACCAGGAAGGGTCTGGGACAGACATTGCATAAACTGGTTTGACCCAAATCAGGTTAGTCTGATACTACATTCAACCAGGTTTACCTTAAACCAGTTTTAGCCATTTTGAAACTGGTTTATTTGCACTGAACTCAGGTTCTGTTACAGGTTTAAACCAGTTTATGATCACTTAAGTTTATGTGTAATGTCTGTCCCTAGCCCCAGAGCTGTGCAGCAAATTGAGCATAAGGATATTACAGGGACAAACATTTCCCCAGTTTTGTTTCCTAGAAAAGTATGTAAGGGGTGTAGCTTTTTACATCAACACAAGCTTGCTGGCAGCAGGAACTAACACCTCTCTACTCCAGATAAATTTGTGAGAATCAGCAACCTTGCCCTGAGGATGTCAGTGTGAAGGTATCACACTGGTCACAGTGTCTTATCTATCTTCTTCTGCTTCCAAATCACCAACACCATGAGTATGCTACACCCTGAACAGCACTGAAGTTCCTGGCTCAGTTCCTGCTACTTTGGCTCAGATGATGGTTGTCATCTAAGGAAAGGCAGCCAGCGCTGAGCATGCTTATGAAAGCTTCTTTGAGTCACAGTAGTTCAGCTTGCTTCAGAACAACAACAACAAAAAGCCCCACTGGTTAAATGAAAAAGTCTAACACGTTATTTGACTTTTCCACCATCTATAAATGCCCCTAAACAAAAGGCATCCTGCCAAATTGCCTGCCAATTTTGGAAGGGAGAGAGATCAGCTAGAAAAAGACTGTTCTGGGGTAAGGCTCTTTTGCTACTCCTGCCTTCTCCTACCCGCAGCCCGCCAACCACAGAAGAGTATGTGCACTAATGATCAAGAACTTAAGAGGCAAAACAAATGTGGGGAATCCAATGAGGTGTAAGGCAGTGATTCTCAACCAGGGTGCTGTGAGATCCTCGTAAAGGTGACACAGGGAACTATGCAATATTTGCTCTGATAAGCATGCAGACAACTTGTAACAGGGCCAGGCCCACACCCTGGGAGCACTTCCCCACAGCCACCCCAGATCTGGAAGAACTCACTGAAGGCTGAGGATCCAGAGACACACAGTGAGCCTTCCAGCAAGAGAGCCAACTCAGATGTGATAAATGAGAAAGAGCTAGCCACGTGGACCAGCATGGGGGGAGAATAAAAGATGCTGAAAGAAGCCTCAGGTGGCTGCACTGGCAGGGAGCAAGACTGCCTGAGGTTACCAGGGGTCAAGATACCACCAGAAGGGGCTGAGGACAAGGCTTCTCATCTGCTTGCTTGGTTGTTTTGTTTGCACAAGCCCCGCAGTCTCATCAAAGCCTCCGAAACATAAGAGGTGACCAGAAGGTGAAGCCTGGGAACAGCCACGTGAAGCCAGCAAAGAGCTAAATGACAGTTTATTTGTTTAACTTTGTTTATTATGCATTTCTAGTAAGCCTTGGGTGGCCTTGTGGTGTTATCTCCTACCTCTGCTACAGCAGAGGCAAGGGACCTGAACAGTGAGTCCTTAGCCCAAACCAGCAGCAAAAATAAAAGTAGTCAGCTCTGCTGGCATGACCAAACA